GATGTGAACTTTTAACAACTAGGAATCAGGAATAACATAAGGAGCAAAAAATCTTGGCACCTCAGAAGGCTCATCCCAGTAGCCAGATCCTGGGTAGGGAGCCAGCACTTTCTCTTCCCTGTCTCTGAACTGAAGAGGTGCCATGATGGAAGAACTCACTGAACCAAGGGAAACTGCGTGGCTGAAAGTGTCTTTGTCCCTAAAATACCCCAAGCAAGACAATGGCTGAGCCAACACCAGCCTGAGACCTAGAAGACCCAACCTGGCTCCTGGGGAGAATCACCATCCTGCAGCTCAGCACTAGCTGGGCCCCCCACCACAGAAGCGTCTCCATCATCCAGGTGCCACAAAAGGAGTTTTGCAAGGGCTCCCACTCCCCAAGCAGATAAGAGGGAAGCAGTGAAATGGATGGAGGAAAAGTCACATTGGTTTTATGGGAAAGCAGGCCCTTGATGCTCTGAGGGAAAAGAAGAAAGGGCTCATAAAAGAGTACAGGGGGAATGAGAAGGATAGCTTTGGAAGGAAGAAATATGGCATTCAATAAAAAAAAAAAGGTGGTCATCTGGGAAATAGTAGCTCTGGTAATTTTCCGAGGTGACAAAAAGTAATTCTGAATGCTCAATTTGGTGACTGGAATCCTGGAAGCCTTCCTGGCTATTAAAAGGCTACCATACAAGTTAACTTTCCTTCTCACATCCTGCAATCAAATAGCTTGAGAAACACTGGGTTCGCTTTAGTGAAGTGATTGCCCAGATGTGCTGTGATGAGATCATGCTGGAGGCTGTGCATCATGTCTGGCTTGGAGGCAAAGATGATATTCCAGGGGCTCCTGTGGTGCTTTTTCGGGGTTGATTTCCTAGCACAGGACAGACACAATGACACTGTCCTAGGAAACACACCATCTTCTCCCATCTGGGTATTTTTTTTTTAATTACTGTTGCCTTTCATAATGCTTCCTTAAAGAAGGTTCTCTGTAAATACAGAGGGGGAAACAAAAATCTCAATGTTTTTAAATGAGTCATTGGAGTTCACAATTGGCCAGTGTAGACATAAGAATTCCTTTAGGTTCAATTTTTTTTATATTACAGCACTCTACTCCTATTGGATAAGTCTTGTACTAAAGGTAGCTTTAAGTACAGTTAATTTAGCAGGGTTTATGCTGATGTGGAATTGAGGAAAATAAGCTACACTAGGACCTCCTGGTCTTACACAGAGATTGGTAAGAATCACTCAAAATGATGCCCAGTCAATTTGAAAATGATGAATAATTGGCTTTTAAATTTAAAACTCTTTTAAGTAGAAATATAAAAGAAGACTCAAAATATGAAATAAAGAAGGCTTTACTCAGGAGGAAAGATAGATTGTCACAAAACAAGCAAAGAGGCAAACAAATATGCATAGATATAAAATCTATTTAAACACAAATCCTTCAAAAAATGCGCATCAGAGTATTTTGTTCTCCAAATAAAATTCCTCCTTATTCTTTTCCCTTTCAATATTTTTTTCCCTCAGATTTTAAGGAGCTAGAGAAATATACTTACTTTTTCTCTAAACTAATATTAGAAATTAACAATTGTTTTAGAAAAACCACATTTCACTTAAGTGTCCTCACTTAATAATCATATATTAGCACAGGAAGAACATAAGCAGAGCAATCAGTCAGACATCCTTCAATTGCAGGTTTGCTCCTTGGTCTCACTCCTCTTGTAGTGGGCAACATCTCATGCCAAACATTTCTAGGCTTGCAGGATATCATCCCTCCCCAGAGCTCAGCAGCTTCAAACCCTTCAGACATCCCTGGTCTTAAGATTCTCTGGCCTTAGCAAGGTAGAGGCCAAAACTTCCTTGATTCCTTTGGGAGAAGCACCCAGCTTCCACTCACACCCATTAGGGCCATTTCCCTGGGAAGGAGGGGCTAGTGAGAGTTTGAATCAAAACAAACTCTGAGAAGCCAAGGGGGAGGAGACTGAAAATGTGGGAGGCCCTGAGGTGACCTTGGGAGGCCCAGAGTGTGGGGATATTTTCAGTTTTGCCATTTGAACCATCCAACACAATTTGGCAGGATAGTCCTGCTCAGCCCTGCAGCAGCCCCCACCCAGGAGTCTAGTACTCCCTGTATTACCATTCTCTAGCACCTGGAACCTGTGCTGGAGGAGAAAGTCCCTCTACCCACCTCCTCACCTTGCTCCCTGGGGAAAAACTATGGAAGCACTGGCTTCACGGGACTGTTATATAAATGGACTCTGTGAAAGAAATAAGCAGGAATCCGTAAACCGTGAGAGAATTCACCAGAAAAATTCACTGGCCCCAACCCAGGCCCATGTGCTCCAGAGGGACTGGAGCTCACATCAGTGCCACAGTTCCCTTGCAGGGACTTGTCTGAGGTACCCTGTAGGAACCTCAGACACAGGGAGTAGCAGTCTTTGATTTTCAGCCTAAGAATTTTCTCTTGTTCCTCAAGAGCTGTAAATGTAGGTAAGGTAACTTTCTACAGGGAGAGCTAAATTAGCAGTCTGTGACCAATCTTTCATTGAAACTAACGGAAACAAAGTCTACCTTGGTCCTATTTGAATTCCCTTTGGAGAAGAAGATATGTTATCTTAAAAACAGTACATGAATGCTTGGGGTTTTGTTTTGTCTTTTAAATGGAGACTGCAGTCCAAGGGGGGAAAGTGGGGAAGAAAACCACTTCCACCTGGTGCTCTCAAAGCAGGATTTGGTGCCAGTCGCTGCACTGTCTGAAGAAAGGATAATTCTCACTCTTCTCACCATAACTTCTTGCTTTTAGATCAGCGGCTGGCAGGTTTATCTACTTGTGAGCAGCTTCAGAGCCACATCAGTAACACTGGCTACGTCAGCAGGAACAATTGGAAGGGAGGATGATGCCACTGCCAACAGCAGTGGGAGGAAAATTCTAGCCTTGAAGATGATTTTTGCATCTGTCTGTCCAACGCTCTAATTGGCACACGTGACTCTCAGAGGGCCAGAGTAGGACATGTAGTTTTACACCACTTTCTTAAGCATTTAGTCAACACTATATGCATGAGCTTCCAAACCCCTTGTTTAGGCCGTGCCCCAACTTAGGAGACTGTGAGCTTCAAATCTATCAGAGGATGCATCCAGATTAACACTACAGCTAGTATGTGTCAAAAAAGATAGCAAACACGCCTAGATGACTTACTGCAGACTGCTGGGTCACTTCATGCCACTTTTTTGGTGCTATTATAATACACACGACACAATAATCATCAAAGTTTTGGTTAGGATCTATGACACAATGCTGTGCTGTAGTCTGCTTTACAAAGTAGAGCTCAAAAGCTTTTGCTCTCTGGAACAGCAATCCTCTAAAGTTCCAAGATATGATTCTATTCCACTGTCAAATACCTGCCTTCTTATACAGGACATAGCCAAAATGCTTTAGAAGATGCTCTTTAGGGAAAAGAAAGAAACCATAAGGTAGCGGTAAGTTCAAAGTGAAATACTTTCTCTAACACAGGTGAGAAAGTCCCTTTGCTACCATAGCCCAGTGCTCCCTGATACTCCTAAAAGCAACAAGATGTCAATTTTTTGTGCAGAGATCAAAAGCTTGTGACAATGGATTCCAACAATTAGTTTTGTCTAATTCATGACGAAGAGGGAGAATGTCAAAGTCAGAAACCTGCAGTTCTTGTCTCAGCAGATTTCTAGGACTATAACCTCTGGAGTAACACTGACTGCCAGGCTGCAGTGGGAGTTTCACTTCACATTATATAATGACATTACTGGTAACTTGCTGGGCAACCATGGCCAAGTCATTTGACTTTCTGGCTTCTGCTTCACCCCTGTCTTCTCCCCAGTAAGCTAAAGATGAAAGTGTTAAGTTGAAGAACTAAGGAACACATCTTAAAAACATTTCAGGTGATTATAAGGAAGAAGAGAATCCATTATGTCACATTTGGAGCAGTCTGACCCCATGATTACTTCATTCATGTAATTAACACATAGCACTCTGCAATGGTGTTCTTAATCTGGCTCCTTGAGCCCACTGAGTGTGCTTTAAAAGTGGTCCAAATGCCCTGATCTCCAGGACAAGAGGCCCTTGACACAAAGTTTAAGAACCACATCTGCAATAAGCGTTGGCCACAGGTGCACCCAAACACAGCCACACTGCCTGACAGAGAGGAAAAGTCAGGGAAGATGAGGGTCTCAAGGAGACCTCCAGGTTCCTAACCCTTACCTCCCTGCACATCTAGGCAAAGCTGACCCTCTCTGTCTGAAAGGAACTTCAATCATCAGGAAGACCGTTAATAATAAGAAGAAAATACTGATTGTGGAGGGCACAAAGCAGGAAAACACCTGAGCTGCTGCCCATTTAATACTAAGGACACCTGTTGGAGGGAAAGCCAAAGGAGTCCACAGAGCTTTGGGGAGAACAGGTAGCTTTACAACAAAAGGCCATCTTGTGTGCAGTGTAGGAGGGAGGATGGAGGCCAGTTTGCAGACCAGGACCAAGAGGAAGAGCAAAGCCTTTGGACTCTCAGTAGTTTAGGACAGTGTGAGCCTCCCAATCCCCCAATTAAGACCCAAGTTCCATCCCTGGGTCCCCGCTTGGAACAAAATCTAAAGGGAACTGGAAGCAAGTGCCTCAAAAAGGAGATCTTCCATGACCAGATCAGAAAGAAGGGGTGCACTTAAAGAGGAGAGGGAAAGAGAGAGAAAATTTTCATTCTAATTTCTGAGAGGTAGACAGCTCATATAAAATTACCGTACACAGAACATTTTACAGTTTACAAAACATTATGCCATCTAGTATTTCATTTCATTCTTATCACTCGGGAATGCTGGTTCTATTTTCTCCATTTTACACACGAGGAAACTGAGGCCAGGTAGGACGCATTATGTGACTTGTTCAAGGTCACGTGGCTGAAATCATCTCTAGGAAACGTCGCAATGCCCCCACCCCTCCCGGTGGTCGTTTATCTAAGGGAGGTTTTCCATTAATTTCTACAGGACAAGCTGACCTAGCTGCAATCGACTCCCCCCTCCCAAAATCTGGGGCGGAGCATCGCCTTCGGGTGCCAGGAAGCGGACCCGAGTGACGCGGAGCCAAGCCGGGGTTTCCCCAGCCTGCGGGGCTAGCGGGAGCTGGAGCCGAAGCCGCGGCTCTGGCCCGGCGCAGTCAGCCAAGTTGGGCTCCGCGGCAGAGGCCAGCTTAGACTTAGGGAGAGGGCTGAGCTGGTGGCTTCGCTCCCGCGCGGTGAGTCCCAGCACGGTACACGCGGTCGGATCCCCGTGCGGGGGGCGCCTCGAGGAAGAGAGGCCGGGGTGGGTGCAGCGGAGGTGACAGAGGTCGACTCAAGGCTTCTTTGCGCTTCTGGGTCAGGGCAACCCGCAGCCAAGCACAGCTTGAAGTTTGGGCATCCAAGGTTCAGACAAGTAGCAAGTTGCGTGGAAAGCGAGGTCGAGGTAGGGTCGGGGTAGGGTTCTGGATCAGGGTCGGAGACGGGAAAGGAAGGAAGCAGAAGGGGCGCCCCAGACCGCGCAATCCCTCGCCGCCCGGCCGCAGGTGGCTCCAACCTGCAGCCCGGGAGCGCGTAGACCGCGGACGCCCGCCGTGCTCCTCCCGCCGCCCGCCCTCCTGCCCGCCGGCCACAGGGCACTCACGGTCCGCAGGAACTGGATTTCATCCTCGCCTCCTTCGCCGCCTTCGGCCATGGCTCCGAGGCGGCGCGCTCGCGCTCGGCCTCCACGCCCGTCCCCGGCGGCGCCTGAGCGCCGAAGCCGCTGCGCTTCTCCTCCTTGTCCCCCTCCTCCCGCTCCTGGCTCAGCCTCCGCGGCGCGGAGCTAATCCTCGACCATATAGGGAGCTGAGCTGTCCTCCTCTGCACTGCAGAGCCAACGCCGCCCAGCAGCCTGCCCACCCAGCCTCTCGCCGAGGCTCAGCGCGGGGAGCAGCGGCGCACAGCACCCCGCAGCTCGCAGGAGGCCCCTGACCCGCTCCGGGTGCTCGAACAAAGGCCGCCGCTGAGCTCTGGTGCGCGCAGAGTGGGCGCCAGCCCTGTCGCTTTGCCCACTTCGCGCGCGCGCAAGTGTGAGTGAGTGAGAGAGAGAGAGAGAGAGAGAGAGAGTGTGTGTGTGTGTGTGTGTGTGTGTGTGTGTGTGTGTGTGTGTGTGTGTGTGTGTGTGTGTGTGTGTAGAGAGAGAGAGAGAACAGAGAGAGAGCGAGAGAGAACAGAGAGAGAGCAATGAGGATATGAGAATGAGAATGTGAGAACGAAAATAAATATTTGGGCTCAAATGCCCAGACCTGCCGCATGTCTCCTCAAACCCCAGCCATGGAAGGCCAAGCCGGGTGCACCTTGGGTTTTTGGGGCAACGAGAGAAGAGCAACAATGAAGAGGGCTGATCATTCATAGCAAACTTTGTAACTCCCTGGATAGCCCTTTCTGCACCTTAAGATAACCTCCTCCCCAATTTAAAATCCCCTAGGAACATTTTACCAAACCCCTGTATGACACAGGGCTGCAGTAACTTTTTTGGTACCCTCCCTTCTGGAGGCTCCCACTGGAAGTCAAGCGGCATCAGAACCTGCCTTTTCAATCCACCCTTAACCTTGCTCTGCATTACAGAGTGCCAGTCCTGTGGACCCTAATAGAAGAAAATAGAGTGGAATGCATGCAGCAGGCCCAGCCTTAGGTCGTTTATTAGGGGTTGGGGTAGTCACATTGCTCTGTACCAGCCTAAGGGTAAAGGCTGCCCCCTTCTGTGTGCTGGCCAACAGGCTCGCTCCTGGGAAAGAGAAACGCTCAAAAAAAAGAGCACCAAGGAGCTGGGCACTGGTGGCTCACGCCTGTAATCCTAGCTACTCAGGAGGCAGAGATCAGTAGAATCCAGGTTCAAAGCTGGCACGGGCAGATAGTTTGAGAGAACCTGTCTTAGAAAAAAAAAAATCACAAAAAAGGGCTGGTGGAGTGGCTCAAGGTGTGGGCCCTGAGTTCAAACCCTCTGTACTAAAGAAAAAAAAAAAAAAAGAGCAGCCCAGAGGCAGCAATGCTGGGCTGATGGTGGCAGAAGACACTGCAAGTTTTACACATCACCTCCATTCCTGACCAACGTCAGGAATGCTCTCATACCCAAACTTCTTTCCTCTAGAGGCTGCACCTTGACCTGGTCTCTTCCTGCCTGGGACATGTCAAACTGTCTGTACATTGCAGCAGGTTGCGTAGTGGAAAATGCCTGCCCTGCTATCGTCTGTGACTCACCACGCATTATTCTTTTCTTTTGGTTAAAGGTTCTTCTCGGCCCTGCCATTGGGAACAAGACTACATTTTGAAAGGAAAAACATGAAGTGGCTCAGATTTCTAAATCCCCAGGGAAATCCATCAGCTATTATTAGAATGTCAATGAAGTGACCATAGAGCAATGAAATACCCTTGGGATGCTTGAGCTGTTTAGTCAGCCATGGGGGCCAGAAGCATTTGAATGTTGAGGGCACTGTGCAGCCAATATCAACAGCAGCTGATAGGCCTATAGGAACAACTCAAAGTCTATGTGGACAAACTAGAGATTTTTGTTTTTGCTGTTGTTTTTTGGTGGTGCTGGGATGGAACCCAGCGCCTTGTGCATACTAGGCAAGTACACTACCATTGAGCTATCTCCCTGCCACTCCCCTCCCCTGTCACAGTCCAACAGTTTTCATTTATATCTTTTTCAGCACTTCTTTACTTTCTATGTATATATATTTAAAGGCCTGACAACCCGAAGCCAGATTACTAAAATAAAATTCTCCTCTGGCAGGTTCTTGACATATTGGTCCCAAGGGACTTTCTCACATACAGGTGCCTCTTAGATGTGTTTCACCAGTAATATAGCTTAAAATACTAATGAAAAGCAACCACCACCATATAATTAGTATCTCATTTCCTATGCATTATTATTTGTAGTGGCCAAGTGCCCAAGTGATGTTCATGAGGCCAGGGTTGTGGATTCAGTTCCAAAAAGGCCAATTAGTTTCACTCTGTTTGCTAACTGAAGACCCTGATCCCTTCACTCTGGCTATGAGCCTTGTAAAATTTGTTCATTTAGCCACAGGGGAGACAGGCTTAAGTCTGTCACTAGCTGGGACCCACATAGAATCTAAGAGACTACACTTGATAAAGACAGCCTGTGCCCACAGTATTGGAGATTTGTTTTCAATGTTCATCTTGGCCTCACCTCCTAACTATAGGAGTCATGCATTTGCTGAAAGTGCATTTCTCTAGTTAATTGTGCTGATGGCTTTGGTCTGCATTGACTCAGGTTCTGCCTAGGGAAAGTATAAAAGCCAATGAGGGAAAGAACTATAGAGTGGAGGAGCTGACTCTTTTAGCTTACCATCATTTTTTAAAACTTACCATATACAGAAGATTTATTTATTTTTATATTAGCAAAAAGAAAAAAAACATTTTTTGTGTCTTGTGTTCAGATGCTGAAATAGTGACTATCTTTTACACAGAATCAGCAAGAGGGTATTGTCACCAATAAGCCCACAAATAGAAATGACTTCTAAACCTATTTTTAGTTTGGTTCCAATAGAAAGGATGTCATACACATTTGATGAAGTCTTTTTTTTTTTTCTTAATGTTCAGAAGTGATTACTACGAGCTTCCAAGACACTGACAATTAGCCACTAAGTTGGCATATATACCTTTGCTCCAAGGCTTGGGAGTCATATCAACAAGCCTAGACTCAAATTCCTTTCTCCATTACAGAGGGGATAAGTACATGGAAAATATGTTTCTTTCCCTGGTGATATCTGATGTTTCTCTCATAGGAGGCACAGACATTGAATGCTTAACACAGGCAAGGATGCTAAGTGACTAATAACTCCCTGAGGCTGAGCACAGGAAAGGGTCTCCTCCTTTCTCTTCCCCTTCCCTTACCCCTCTCCTCCTCCTTTTATGATATCTTAAGCTTGGAGGATTATATTGTAAGGTCAAAGCTAACATGTCACTCTTGCAAGGCTCCTAAAACTAAACCACATGAAGAAGGGCTGTGCCTTGGGGGGTGAGGGGCAGGGGAGTGGCAGCCTAGGTGTCACAGCAAGATGGAGGCAAGCTGAGTACACCTACAGAGGCTGGGAGGTGGTGCCCTCTCCATGTGCCATCCATTGAACTTAAAGCCTAGGCTTAGCCATCAACTTACATGCCAGCTATTGGTCTAGTGCCAGCTTTGACACAAGTAAGCGGAGGGTCTGAGTGCTGGATAAGACTGTATCATTTAAGGATTGTATGCCCCTGGGCAACTGATTTAAGTTCTCATAGCCTGTCTCATCTTCTGGAAAATGGGGATGAAAATGTCTACTTCTTAGGGTTAGTTTAAGGATTAAATGACTTAGTGAATAGGAAATGCTTAGCAGTGTATTGTAAAAGTGCTTGATACAGATAGTAATAGTTCTATTGGTCTAGAAATGTTAAAGGTAGTTTTTTCCTATTTGTTCATGGGCAAAACACTGTATTAAATACATAAGGTCTTATCTGTGTGGGTTTGATTACCAAAAGCAGTAAAGTATCCCCTAAATAATGAAAGAGAACTCCTGGACCATCTGTTGAAGGCCTGTGCCTATCCTCCTCTTGTGCGTTGGTTTCTACTACCTGCGCATCTGTTTGTGTTCCATTCCCATTTGACTTTCCATGGTGGCTTTGCTCACACACACAAAAAAGACACAGTGCCTCTGATTTTAGGAAATAATTCCCTGCCTCTCCCTGGGCAGAGTTCATGTGTGGCAAATTAATGGGGGAAAACAAATATTGTTTTTCTATACTCATTTCTAGGGAGTTTTGTTCTGAGCAGTATCATATCCAAGTCTTTGATGAGAAATGAGTTCTGTTGCTATGGCATGTTGAAATTTATGATCTCCTCTGGAGGTGGGGTTGTCAGCATCCAGTCCCCTCAAGTTTTCCCTTAGGCCTCATGAGATTGAGATCTATGGCTTATGAAACTATACTTAATTAGGTAAGTCTACTCACACTAACCTTGATTTCTAATTTCTGCATTTTAATTCTTCCTGCAGCTCCATGGCATGGATTTATTGAAGTTTCTGCCAGCAACAATTTGCCCTGACTCACTACGGTTTTAATAATTCCTACTGAAATAGGTGTGTACACACTGGAGAAGGAGATAAGTGTGTGTTTGTGTCATTTATTTCAGTAGGGAAAAATGTAGGTAAATAAATAACTTTTATTCTGTCTCTAGGGTAGGAATTCTATGGCTAGCCCTGAGTTCAACTTGCCTATACAGCCTGTTCTAAAAAGATTTCATTTCTAGCATTCTTGAGCTGGTAAAATTTCCTTTGCATAACAAAGTAACTCTTCTTTCTCTTGTCATGACAAGGGTGCAGAACTTTCTGCTGGTGTTCAGAGCTCCGGTATCTTGGGATGGAAACTACACTTTGGGATTTCTTTCTCTGTATGTCACTTGCTGCCCATGTGCATGGTAGAATGCTCCTGGTCTGAGTATCTGGGAAACTTGCAGGGCTGCTAGGTGATTCCTGTTGCTCTTATCTAAGATCCAAATAAGAGTCAGAGATTTTAAGCTCTATCTACCACAAACAAGATTCTAGAATTTAGGAAGAAATAAGTATTCTAGTTCAGTGGATCCACAGACCAATAAAAATTTTAGAGAAAATTTTCAGAGAGTCATGGTGTTGCCAGCTTTTAATGTTGCTATTAGGCATGCTGGAAATCCAACTGCTAATGGCTATTTCCACTGTATAAAAGATGTGCTATTTTAACATAAAATAGTATAAAGAACAAATCTTAGAATTAAAGATAGATAAATGTGATCTTAGATTAACTTACTATGTAGATTGTCTCTGTCTCTCTCTTTTTCCTCATCTGTCCTTCCTTTGCTGTAAAGAAAAGGAAAACATCATCAGAGACCAGAATTGATTTGAGAATCCTTGATAAAAAATCAATTCCCTCATTCTAAGATGGGAAATTGAGATAAACTGCAAACGGAATTGATGAGCACAGATCTCTGGGGTCTGTGTTT